CTCCCCTAAGTACTGGTACCGACGATGAATAACTCACTACCGGCACTCAAAATACCGGATAATGTCTAGATAATCTTTCTGTCAGACTCCGGGACCGAAAACAAATGGCTGATTGGGCAGAATGCTAATATATTATTAACAGTCGTTGTCCGTAATCCATTGCACAGAGTAACAATTGACTTAAGCAGATGAAGTTACGTGGAGTCCAAATGCTAATGATAATAATAAATAGGAATCATATTGTTAAGTGATATGCTCTCAAGTGCATTTCGATCGAACGACGATCCACTCATAAGTGCTAGCTAACAAAAGTTTTATGAAAAACAGTTAAGAATAGTTTTCCACCCTAACTTCCACCACAAGTAGGTGAAAAGCGAGAAGATTAAGCTTGTCGTTAGTGTAGGTAGTAATACAAGTGATATCTCCGATAGACCTCTCGCATATGAGTGAGATGCGGATCATCCCAAACTAGAACCTAGTCCAGTGCAACTGGAAATAATCCCTGAAGAACAGTCTTGCCGCAGCAAATTTACCAAACGACGTAAATTTATCAATCGGAAGGCATTTAGGATAGTGAGAGATAAAAACATCATTTACATCTTTAACTATAGTTCGTAAAGAGGATAATAGTTTAAACAAGTGTAACATATTGAGTGCAGAATCTGAACCGTTCGATAGGTTGAGACTTTTCCACGATCCTCTCAGCTCGAGAAATAATAGCGGTGCTTGAAACAATAGTTGGCAAAGAGAGTCCTGATGTTCGTTCGATGCGTACTTTATCCAAAAGAATTCAAGAACATTGTCCGGCGTGGCTAAGAAGAGGAGGCAGCGGCTCAATAAGAAGTTCTATAATCGAGCACCTTGTGAACACAGGTCACTCAATCAAGACAGACTCTGCGTTCAAAGTCATCTACAAGGTAAGTAGAAGCCTTCCTAAGACAATTAGATTGCATCTTCTTTGCATTGCCGAGGTAATAGCCATACATTTTGAAAAACCAGAATTATGTGTACAAAAGAGACTAGTACAACCTCCTCTTTTACCATGGTCTTAATGTATTAAAAATTTTTCTCTTTCTCATTACTCTTTTTCTTTTACAGCCACCTGATCCACCTTCCATCTTCCCTTCAAATCTTGTACCCCCAACCGGTTTGTTTTTATTTCCACGATCATTCCGATTACATTTCATCTCTGTTTCAACATTTTATGTTATTTTATCATGCCGAGCTACCCTTACCCGATGAATATCTAAGCCATTAACTATCAAACTTTCCTTGTTTTAAATTTTTTTCTAATACCTTTGTTTATTCAACCTCACTGTCACCATGCATAACATAAGTTTATTATCAGTATTATTATCACCCTGTAAAAGTAAGTATATATATTTGCGATTGTACAGCTTTGAAAATGAATTCGCCGAAAAGAGAACTCTTCGCTGAACTAATCTTTCTTTCTTATTTAATTGTTGAGTAAGCAAATGAATGGAACTCGTCACTGTAAATCAACTTCCATGACTATGAGAAAGCTCTTGGCGGTGTAGATAGGAGGATCTTATGGAAACTTCTTCGACGCTATGGAGTATTTGAGAAAATCGACAACATAGTCCGGAGTTCATACAACGGACTACACTGCAAAATCATGAGTGGAGGACAGCTGACAGTTGCATTTAAAAGAAGACAGGAGTCAGATAGGGTTGCTTACTGTCCTTTTTGCACTTTCTTCCTGTAGTTGACTGATTTATGAAGACCTTTACATCTCAAAGGAAGCACGGAATACAATGGACAACAAGCATGCAACTAGACGATTTGGACTCTGAATATGACTTAGACGTTGTATTCCATAAACATGAACAAATGTAGATATACCTAGCCAGTGTAGCAGCAGCCTCTGCATCAGCAGGTCCCAAACTACACAAAAGGAGAAGCAATATCTTCGGATACAACACTGAGAATACTAAACGAATAACACATCATAGAGGAACTGTGGGATAGGTGGAAAGCTTCAACAATCTGGGTAACATCATCGATAAACAAGGAGGATCGGATGCAGATGTAAAGGCGAGGATTGAAAAAGCAAGAACAGCATTCCTATAGTTAAAAAACATATGGAACCCAAAACAGCGATCGACCAACATCGAAGTCAGAATCTTTGGTATGAACGTCAAGACAGTCCTATTGTACGAAGCTAACAATTGAAGAATCACCACATTTTTCCAATCGAATGAGTATCCGCAGTTGTCCAGGTGTATTGATATAAGTGAGAAGATGTCATTCCGTTTGACTGCTAATTGATGTTCATGTAGGGGCAGGTGAAGGGGACGTCCGCTTTGTCCGATGTAGTGTTTGTCGCAGTTGTCACAATTTATTTTGTAGATGATGTTTGATTTGTTTTCCTTTGTTATTTCATCTTTTGGTTTGCATAGGACTGATTGTAGTGATTTTGTCGATTTGTGTGCTACACCAACTCCGAAGGTTTTCAGTAGTCTTGTTGCGGTTTCTGATATTCCTTGTATATATGGTAGGGTGATCCTTTTGTTGATTTTTGTGCTTGATTTGAGTTCTAATGCTGCGTGCGGTTGTTACTTTTTGATGAAGTTGATTGGGTAGCCGTTCTTCTGAAATACATCCTTCAGGCATTTCTCTTCATTTCTTCGTGTCGCCAGTGTGCTGCAGTGTGTTCTCGCCCTCTTTAACAGTGTGTGTACGCGGTTGGTTTTGTGAGCTCTTGGTTTGTTGCTATTGTAGTTGAGAATTCGATCTGTATGGGTCGGTTTTCTATATACTTGAGTTTCCAGTTTTCCTGTGTCGGTTCTAGTGACCAATATATCCAAGAATTCTGGTTTGTTGTTTGATTCCTGTTCCATGGTGAACTTGATGTCATCGAAGACGTTGTTGATCAGTTTGTAAGTGTTCTCTAGTTCATTCTTTTTGACGATGATGAAGGTGTCGTCTACATAACGAATCCAAATTTTTGTTTGATCACTGGTAATATAGCGGCTTATAATCTTTGCTTCACTGCCTCTGCGATCAAACCTGATATTGGTGATCCCATTGGTGTCCCTTTCGTTTGTTCGTAGATTTTGTTGTTGAATTGAAAATATGTTGTTAAGCATAAATTGATGAAATCCTGTATTTAGTGAGGTTTGTGTCGTTTTTCAGCAGCGGGGATATAGTTTCTCTTGCTAATTTTGGTTCAGTTGAGGTTAATAATGCTGTTACGTCGAAGGATATCGTTAGTTCGTCGTTGTTGATTTGGATGTCGTTAATTTGGTCCAGGAATTGTGTAGGGTATTTGATGGAGTGGTTGGCTGAATCTACTAAATGACTCAGTATTCTTGAAATTTCCGGGGAGTGCTACAATTGGACGTAGTGGGATGATTGGTTTGTGTATTTTGGGTCTGCCGTAGCATCGAGGGAGTACTGGTCCGTTGGATTTCATTCTCAGTTGTTGTTGTCTTGTTATTTCCCCTGCTTTGACTAGCTTGTTAAAGGTCTTTGAGATTTGGTTGTCTAATTTTTTGACGGGATTTGTATCCATTAGTTTGTATGTGCCCTTATCTTTCAGTAGTTCTTCGGCTTTTTTTGACGTATTCTTTTTTGTCCATGGTTACTGTGGTGCGTCCTTTGTCAGCTGGTATTATGACAATATCCTTTCTATTTTTGAGTTCTTTTAAGGCCTTTTGTTATTGTGGAGTCAGTTGGTTGTTTTCCTTCACCTTTTTAGTTAGCGGTACTATAATGTGCCTTATTTCTTGTTGTGCTTCTTCACTGATTCCGTAAGTTTTGAGTGATGACTCCAATGCTACGAAGAATTCCAGCTTTGGGGCGTCGCTTGTATTGTAGTTTAATCCTTTTTAGAGAAGTGTTCTTCCGTATTTGTTAGTGGTTGTTTTGGCAAATTGACCACGCAGTTGTTTCTGTTTTCTTCCATAGGTGGTTTTGAGATATTGATTAGTTTTTTCTTTAAGGTGTTTCTTCTTTGTTCTCTGTGTCGTTTGCATGATATCTCGATGGCTGTTGTCAAGATTTCCAAATGTTCTGATGTAAGTGTCCTTTGTAGCTTCATCTTTTGGTCCTCTATGACGTGTTGGTATTTGCGGATTTTGTAGTGTGCATCCGTTATCATTAGGTGTACCACTTTTCTTCCACTTTGCTCAGCTATTTTCCATCCTAATGGGCAGTTGATTGGAGATCTATATCTTACACTTGTTGGTAGGACATGCTGGCGAAGACGCTCATGGAGAAAATATAGTTGTTCTCCACTCCAGAAGAACCACCACAACCATAGTCAATAAGGTAAAAGTATTTGAGAACAATTGTTCACGCCGGTTACTAAATGTCCGTTAACTGGATACCATCAGCAACATCCTACTGTAGAAGGGGACAGATCAGATTCGAGATGAAGAGCAAATTAGGAAAAGACGTTGGAGGTGGAGGGTTTACCGTACAAAGAGCAGTTTAGAAAGCTAGACCTTTTTACTCTGTCCTATCGTAGATGGAGATGTGATCTGATTTTGTTGTATAGATTACTAAGAAATGATTTCAAACCTAATAAATCCTCTCTTTTTCATCACATCAGACCAAGAATTCTGAAAGGGAAACGAAGGCAAAGAGAAAAGCCAAGAACCAAAAGAGTACCCCTGAAATACAGGTTTTCACACAGAGTCATCAATTTTCGGAACCTGTTACCCGTAGCACTGGTATCAGTGTATTCAATTGATCCATTCAAGAGAAAACTAGAAACTCACAGAAATGCACTAGAAAACGAAAAACGTGGGCCACAAGTCTTTTGTTCTTACTACACAAATCTGAATCTGAAATCTTATTCCTTACGCAAATTTATGATCCTGTTCTGACCCTGGTCAGTAGTTGGAGTTTCTCAAGATCACTTTTGTATCTCTTGAAGGCATTTAATAAATTTCAGTATCATCTAAACCTCTAACTTGAACCAAGGCAAAAGCTCTAAGATTCAATATGTTTGGCAGATATTTTACCTTGAAACACTTAAGTATGTCCTTCGGGAAATGGGAAACTTTTGAAAAGGACGTGTGATGGCTGAAATATTTTATAATGGTAGGAGAGTTGACGGTCGCCGACCAAATGAAATTAGACGAGTGGATTGTCAGTTTGGCTCGGGTTATTCTGACGGGATTGTATTCCTGCATCAAGGTAATATTAATTCTCGATTTCCGAAATCCGTAAATTTAATGACTTCAGGGAATACCAAGGTGATTGCATCCGTGGTTGGGCCCCATGCTCCCAGAGCAAAAGGTGATGGTGTTCCAGATGGTGCAACGATAACGTGCCAATTTACCAAGCCTCCGTTCGCATCAACTTCAGGGGAACGTCGCAAACTGTCATCAAATGATAGATCAGCGAATGATTTTGCTACTGCCATTGAGGTGACGAAAATTTTGAGTTGAATTTTCGTTAGAACTAACTTATTTTTACTATGAATAGTTCGGTAGTTGATTTAAGGTTTTCCAATAATATGTCCCTCAATAGTTCATGAGTATGCTCATGAACGAGAGAAAACTACTGGACGTGTTTTTATTGTGGAAAGTAAATGGAGTTAGTTATGCTCTATTAAATTTCTTGAGCGGTCTTATTGTTGGTTTTAATTTATATCTGACACTATAAGCGTATTGCACGTATCGGTAAATCATTATTTCTCTAATTTGCTTCAACCCGTGTTAGCAGAAGTATACTCCTCTGATGAATTAAATAGTTCTATATTTATGGTGAAAAGCTTTTTTCCACCGAAGTCAATGATTAATCGTTCTAAAATTATCTCGGAGTATTAGCAGGTGTGTGGTAGGAATAACGTCTTGTTCTCTGACTACAACACAATCGAAACGTTACCTACCCCTATGATAAATCCGTCATACATTGTCTCTAGGACTAAAGTTCTCGATTTTAACGCAGTACGATTAGATGGTTGGTAGAGTTGTAAAAAGTACCACTTAACCATCTGGAAACATTCTCCCAAATGTCCTGGTATGACCGAGAGTGGGCTGGACCCGCCCTCCCTCTCGAAATGCTGTCACACGGCCACGCGTATACAACCTCTGCAAGGGAATTCCTACTCACTACCTTCTCTTGGCGGGGGCGCTTACGAAAATGAGGACGAAAAGCGAATGTCCGGAGCTTTAACCGGATACCAAACCAATGGTACACATGGGCTCCAATATCCTGTAACAAAAAACGGCGTATGAACCGATTTCTTGGTCACGGCCACTATGGGACTGCATCTCCTCACGATGCTCCACTGCCTTGTGGGTTAGACCTTTAGGTCGAAGGCTCGGGGTGTGGCCCTCTAAGAAAACCACCTGCTTGGGTCTGGGCACCAGGGCAGTATCACAGCTCACACAAAAATAAAATGAAAATGATGATTTAAAACAATTAGTCCCTTTGATAAATTTCGATAATGCAATGAGAAGACGAAGATTATCAGAACTATGTGATATATTAGCGCAATACATTTCGAACAATCTGATCACACATATACTTGTTAAGAGCATTTATATATAAAAATAAAAGGTCAACTAGACAGGAAATGGGGTAAGAGGAGATAAGGATAATGATAAGAGTAATAATAATAATAATGTGAACACAAAGCGAAACCTAATCACTCTGGATAATAAGTCAATATTACCAGGGTAGGTTTAAGGTAAGAACAAACTGTTTTTGAACACATAAAGGGGGTTTGAATTTTCGTATGGCTAAGGCTTCAATGAACCTTAGTATACGCCCTTTTACACTTTTATACAGCACTACAAAAGCTGAATTTAGATCAATCTTGTGACCTGTTTCAATTATATGTTTAGCAATAGAGGATGATGGATGTTTATCCTCTGCTCTTATTGGGTCACTTGATTGTATTTGTTTCTGAAGCCATTTGGGTACATGTTCACTCACCCTAATGTTGAGATCACGATTACTCCTCCCTATGTATGTGTGACCACACACACATTTAAATTGGTAAACACAGTGGGATGTAACGTAATCGTTTTCATGTACTTTAGGTTTTGAATGAAGCATGCACCTTGTTCTTTCTTTGATGATGACCTTTGCTGCGCAATAGGTTTTATTGATGACTGATTTAAGACGTTGTTTCAGTAAAAGGCTATTTGAATCACCTCTGAATGGTAAGGTGATGTAGACAGGCTTTTTCTCTACCGAGGCTACAGTAGGTCTCGCTGTACCATGGACTTTCCATCTATTTATGAATTTCAGAGGATAGCCATTTTCTATTAACGTTTTATTTAACAACTTAACATCATCATCAATGGCGTCATTGGTACAAATACGGTCGAGTCTGTTGAAAAGACACCTTATCAAACCACGTTTGTATTGCATAGGGCAATAACTATAATAACTAAGATATTGACCTGTCCACGTTGGTTTTCTAAAGATAGATCGCTTAACTGAACCATCTTCTCGTCTACTCAGGAGTATATCTAGGAAGGGAAGCTGATCGTTTTTTTCCTCTTCACATGAGAGACTAATATGGTTTTGGAGAGTGTTGAGTTTATTTAATAAACCGTACATATCCTCTTTTTTCTCACAAACAACTAAGATATCGTCCACATATCTCTTATAAAGTGACATGTTTCCGATTAATTCATCAGTCTGATTTTCAACATGTGCCATGAACACATCTGCTAGTAATGGTCCTAGCGGACTACCCATAGCAACTCCATCAATCTGACGAAAGTATTCACCTTCAAAAGTGAACTGAACTTTGTCAGTACATAGTAATAGTAAATCTTTAAGAAGTTTTAAAGGTACACGTGATTGAAGATTGTTTTCAGATATGTAATCACATAATATATCAATGGTTTTTTTTAATGATGATATTTACTGAAAACTCTATTCTCACCTCGATTTACAGTCAAACAATTCATATTATTATTATCATTATTATTATTATTTACTACGTCATTTATCCACTCAGATTATTCCCGCTTTATGTATCCTTATTTTTCGACTTATACAGCAGCTCGCCTATGGTGGAAACTCGGTTCTACCTAAACGTTCTCGGGTCACTGCCTTGTTGAAAATTGTATGCTACCACAAAATACGAATACTGAAGCAGTTTTTCTGAAACCACGTGCACTATTCAAACTAGTTGTCTTCAACGTTCGCACACTTATGCAGGTTGGACAACAGATAGCGCTGACTATGTCTTTGGAAAGTCATAATATCGGCGTTTGTTGTCTATTCGAGACCCGTATTCAAGATTGGTGAGGTACTACAAATTCGCTCTCCATCTGTCGCTTGAAAAAGCTTGTTTTACGTGCGTTCATCTGGGGACCCTGTAGCATCTTCGTCAGGTCGTGCTGGCGTTGGTTTCGCACTAAGCGCTAGAGCTGAGGCAGCACTAATCGACTGGATCCCCATTAACAGTTGGTTATGTGCTGTTAGAAACGATGTCTTTTCGTCATCTCCATCTATGCTCCGACAGATTGCAACCCGGATGCAATCAAGGATGAATTCTACCACCAGTTAACTGTTCTTTTCCAGAAAGTGCGTTCAACAGATATTTTAGTGCTAGCCGGAGACTTGAATGCTCAGATCGGGCGTCTAGGCACAAAAGAGAATCGTCTAGGTGGCCGATGGGGACTTGTTGGTCGCAGGACGGATAACGTGGACCGTCTACTGCAACTGTGCACAGACCACAACCTGTTTCTGGCTAGCACTAACTTTCGGCACAGTCATCGCCGATGTGCCACCTGGCGTCCTCCTTCTGCATCTCAAGCCTGGACTCAGATTGATCACATTGCGATCATCTATCGCTGGCATGGTTGTGTACAAGACTGCTGCTCCCTTTGGAGTACCTATCTGGACTCTGACCATGCCTTGGTCTGCGCCAATCTTACCTAACTTTTCAGTGGCCAACGGAGTGACCGCCACCAACGGATTAATGTTAGCAAGCTGGTTGCAACTTCTGTTGCTAGTACGTATCGAACCGAGCTAGCTTCTATGCTAGCTCTCATCCCACCGAAAAGTATAGATGAGCATTGGTTGCAACTTCACGACGCCATCAAAATGGCGAGTAAAGCCGCTTGCGGCTTCGCGAAACGTCTCGCTTATAAGCACTGGATTTCTTCAGGCTCCTTACAACTCATCGAAACCGGTCGGTCTACTCCAGATGACCGTGAGTTTGACCACAAACGACGACTGTTACGTAATGAAATCGGGCAAAGCTTGCGTAAGGACCGAGATGCCTGGTGGTCGGAGCGTGCTAATGAGCTGGAAGCACCAGTTGCATCTGGTAATTACCGGAAGCTCTTCCAACTCGTCCGAGCCACTGGCACCAAGAAGTCTCGTGTGAGCGAAACAATCTGTAAAGATGACGGGATGCCAATCACTAACATCCATCGACGTCTTGGATGGTCAGAATTTTTCGAAGGGCAGTTCAACTGGTCTGCCGCTCCGACAACACCGGTCAGACTTCCCTGCCCTCCATGGCCGGTGACGACTGATCCACCAAATGAGGTGGAGGTCCTCAAGGAACTCGAATTCTTGAAGCGCTACAAATCACCGGGCCCAGATGACTTACCTCCAGCTCTTTTTAAAGATGGTGGTGACTTTCTGGCTAAGGATCTGACGACGTTGTTCACAAAGGTTTGGGAACTGGAGAGCGTACCAACGTCATGGAGTGATTCGATAGTTGTCCCCATCTTTAAAAAATGGTTCACGCCGTTCCTGTAACAACTATCGGGGGATAAGTCTACTTCCGATTGCGTCCAAGCTATTGGCTTCCGTCATACTTCGTAGGTTGTTCAAAACCCGAGAAAGATTGACTCGCGAGGAGCAGGCTGGGTTTCGTTCTGGTCGAGGATGTATTGATCATATCTTCATCTTCCGCCAAATGCTAGAACACCGCCATACTTATTAAAGGCCAACAATCGTAGTGTTTCTTGACATCAGGGCTGCCTTTGATTCGTTGGACAGGACTGTTCTCTGGGATTGTTTATTGAAGAAGGGTGTGCCTGAGAAGTTTATTAACATCCTAAAAGCCCTATATACAAACACCTCAGGTAGAGTGAGGGCATACAACCACCTCTCTCCATTGTTCCATTCGAGCAGTGGGGTTAGGCAGGGTTGCCCAATCTCACCATTCCTCTCCAACTTTGCCATCGATGACATTCTGAAAACAGCTCTGATGAATGTAGGTAATGGCGCTGTGGATATGTTGCCTGGAGAAAGACTTCTAGACCTTGAGTATGCAGATGATATTGTCTTACTGTGCGATAATGCCCAAGGCATGCAATCCTCACTTAATCAGTTGGCAATCAATGTCCGTTGGTACAGTATATGCTTTGCACCTTCGAAGTGCAAAGTACTTCTAGAAGACTGGCAGGATTCTAATCTTGTACTCACCCTGAATGGTGAGCAGATAGAAGTAGTCGAGAAGTTCGTGTATCTAGGTAACTGCATAAGTGTTGGTGGTGGCGTGAGTGATGAGGTCGATGCACGTATAGTGAAAACCAGAGCGGCTTATGCCTATATAAGCCATCTTTGGCGCCTTCGTGATGTCAGTCTGCTTGTAAAAGGTCGGATCTACAACGCGTCGGTGAGAGCAGTTCTGCTCTATGTTTGTGAAACCTGGCCTCTCCGAGTTGAGGATGTTAGACGACTCTCTGTGTTCGATCACCGTTGTCTCCGAAGGGTTGCTGACATCCAGTGGCAACACCATGTTAGTAATGCAGAGGTTCGGCATCGTGTGTTCGGGCACAGAGATGATAATGCAATCGATGTCACCATCTTGAAACACCGACTTCGGTGGCTTGGACATGTTCTACGAATGTCGTCCCAGACAATTCCACGTCGTGCATTATATGCCGACGCTGGGACTGGTTTGAGAAAGCTGAAAGGTGATCAGTGTATGACATCGTGTCGAGGTATGAAAGAAAGCCGCAAAGAGCTGGCTTCTGTCGGTCCTTCACGACTCCCTGGCTGGGGTCTGAGAGATGGTGCAACACAGTGGCTAGAGACTTTATCAGATATAGCTCAGAATAGAAGCTAATGGTGATCCTGCTGTAACCTTCTCTTACTTTCCTCATAAAAATTGGTTGTATCTTCCTTAACTGAAAGATTTTTTCTGGTTGTGCCTTTACATTTCCCACAATATTATTATTGTTATTTATTATCATTGTTACACTACCATACACTAATCTGTGGTTGTTATTGTTCTTTTTTTCCTATACGCACCTTACCTTCTTCTTCTCTTCCCATTCTCATTGTTTTGTGTGGCGCATATATATACCTGATTCCCCTATTGTACCGACATTTATGTGTTCAAATAAAATAATCATTCCCCAAAACCTAAGACCAGCACACAATCTGGTTATGTTTTATTGTATCCACCCTAAAAGTACAACGGACTTAAATGACTTGTCTTATAAATACATATATACTGATTGTTTGTACATGTTAGATAATTCCTGAAGTGAAAGAAACAAGTTTTAGAGCATGGATACCCACCGTATTTTCGAACAAGTTCCACAACCACATAAGTCGTTTATTTAACATGAAGATTTTGGTTAGAAATCGAGATGTTACAAAATGGATACTTAAATAATGAGATGTGTTTATTCAAGGTGTATACGAAATAAAATTTCTACTCGGATATCATTTTTTCGCCGATTCATGTTTAGCCTGCGCGTTATGGTTCTTAGTTGTGCTTCTAGAATCCTGGACTTTGAGTATTTTTGTTTCGCCTCTTTTATGATATTAAAATTTTTACGACGGATATTATCTTATTTTACATCTATGTAGGAGATATTCTCATGTGTCATCAGGACAGAAAAATACCCAATGTCTCAAATAGATATTTTTCTTGAAGTTATTCAGTCAGATGGCTCTGAGTTTGCTTGTGCTGTAAATGCAACTACACTTGCCTTAACTGATGCTGGAATTGAAATGGATTACCTCGTCAGTGCAGCTACAGTTGGTGAGCAACATTACATGTTTATTATTTCTATGAATTTGCAAGAAACCTTCCCTAATACTTCTACCATGTTTATACTTTCCTATAACATCCCGGCTGTGATCGGTAAGAGTAGAAGATATACGTAGATTACTAGTATTCGGTCATAGGTGTCTTCGAAGCATTGCTGGTATATCCTGTGACCATCGAGTAAGTAATGCAGTTATTAGGAAACGGGAACTAGGCAATGATGGCAAGTCAATTGATTAATAAGTGAAACTTCATCAGTAGAGATGGCCGGGACATGTGTTACGTATGCCCAACCACCGACGTGCGATGTCTCATGATGTAGGAGTAGGCTGGAAGAAAGCTAGGGGTGGCCAGACCACAACATGGCACAAATACTTGAAATCACTGACAACTGGACTGAGCCATGTTGGTAGGTGTAAACTACCTGGTTGGGATCCGCGAGGTTACAGCAGCCGATGGTTAGAGACCTTGAATGACATGGCTTATAGTCGTTTGCAACGACACGGGTGCATCCACTCTTTGTGTTCTCCCGAATTCTAATCTGAATTCTTCATGCCCCTCATTTTTTCTCTTTCCAAATTTATCTCACTGGATTATACTCCTTGAATAACATCTTCAAACCCTGATGTTTCCGATTACTGCTTATACTTTTACTACCTCCACCACTATGGGATTTGAATCGACAATTGTATCTGTGTGCTAATGTGGTACGGCAACTCGAACTGATGTACATACATACGAAGTTCCACTTTGTTGCTGACTGACTGATAATATTCTTAAAATCATGTTCTCCAGTGACAGATATTTTCATTTGCTAATTAGTGCAGGTTTTTTGTTTCAGTATTAGAACCTGGTTTCAAAATGTTATTAAGAGTGTGAAGTTTGTTTCCATTTGCAAACTTTTCCTACTGAGAGACTATGCAATACCAATACCTGCCTAGGTTTTTCTTGATAATTTCAAACAACTTGAACATTGGATGTATTGTTAATAACAAAATAATGATATACTTGTACAATCCGAATGAGTAGGGAGTTGAGTTTTTGACGTCTCATGACAATGTAAGTCGCCTCTTCAGAAAACAAATAGGTAAAATAATCGAATTAACACAAATTTAAATACTACACGGGAATATTTTAATACAATCAAGGCCCAACTATGTCTGACCATCTTAATGTTGTGTAATTTTTGTAGTTATTGTCTTTTCCCCTTTTATTCTTTTCTGAGTCTTTTGAAGGTGAGAATATGTAATTCGGCGAAATTCAGAAGCTTTATAAGATCGTCTAGGTTATTGACATGCTTCAACATGCATCACGAACGTTTCTGAAAAAATGTCTTCACAAATAAACAATCTTGTAGGAAAATTCCGTAAGCATGTCAATAACCTAAACGATCCCATAAATCTCTGATTTCCGCCGAATTACATATTCCCACCTTCAACTTGTTTCAGTTAAAGCAGGATTCATTATCATGATTCATAAAAATCTAGACGAATCAAGAAATATGAAAAGAGAATAAAAGGGAAAAAGACTAACTACAAAAATTACACAACATTAAGATGGTCAGACATAGTTGGGCCTTGATTGTATTAAAATATTCCCGTGTAGTATTTAAATTTGTGTTAATTAGATTATTTTACCTATTTGTTTTCTGAAGAGGCGACTTACACTATCATGAGACGTCAAAAACTCAATTCCCTACTCATTCGGACCTTAAAAATATATCATTATTACTGGTATAGTCTACCTTACGTTGATGATCTTAGATCTAGATATATGATCAATTATCGTTTTATTTGTCTTTCAAAAGTAATTCACCAGGTCGATATGAAACACCTGAATAGAAAGCTCTTGACTCTTTGTTAATGTGTATGTATAATTTGTGTGCACCGAACTCATGATTTTTTATCGTACAAAAGTTTTTTACTGTGCTTGTGACAGGTCTCTGGGGTTCACATGTGTTCGCTGACCTTTGTCGCTTTGAGGAGAACCCACGTATATCACAGTTAACCGTTGTTTGTCTTCCCAATCTTCATCAGCTTTCTGGAGTAATTACAGAGGAGCAAATAGACCAATGGAAAGGTCAGCCTCAAATCCTTCATACACGTCTCTCTTCTTGGTTACCTGTTGAGAGACTACAACCACTCATGACAGAAGCTGTAAAGGTGGCTCAAACACTTCAAAAGGAATTTTCTTATTGGCTACGGGGCCGTGTACGTAGTGGTCTTATCACCAGATGACTAACGTGACTCACCTTTATAAAGACATTTTGAGCGGCGCCAGATATACTATCTGAGTATAATGTTTCACGACTGACCATGTGAAGTTACAATATAAATTTTGATTCTGACTTCTAACTTAATTAAAAGAAATTGACCGCTTTACATGTTGTGTAGCACAAAATTCTCTTACACAATTACTGCGCTCAAATAATCTAGTTAGTTTCCTGGTGAGAATGCTGCCTTCATCCTTGGGATGCAATTGAGATAGGTTTTTTTGAATTGGACAAATGAGCTTTCACCTCAAAATTAAAATCCAATAGGCGATGTAGACTCCTCATAGTGACCGAAGACTGAGGCTGGTTTAGACGTCATTCATCCATTCAAGGTCCTGCAATTCATATATGCTACTAATATGTATCATCCTAGGTGGGATTCTCTGACCTTTCAACCGCACTTAGAGCTCTAAACGTACGGTTTTGTGGAAACACGCATGCTACTTAAGGGGCAGCAAGTAGTATCCAAAAAACTATCAAACCTCACTTTTGTAAAACATTTATGGAGAGAGAAAGTTCTCTCTTTAATGTACGTCTTAGTTCATAACGTTTAATTTTGTTGTTTCCATTGCAAACTGACCATGATAAATTCCTTGCATTTTAGGACTATTTCTCAGTTGACATTTTCTACTGAATATATATTTATTTATCTTATTATCCTTCTACAGTTCGAATTTTAAAATCTTATTCTAATAAGCAATACGGTCATCTGTTTGCCGAATTCCATTCATCATAGGTTAGGAAAGTTCAGTTCATTCATAATACCAGGTCTAGTGAATAATACATCGTACTCGGTTACATGACAGTATCTATTTAGAAAAACTGACTTATCCCATTACTCAGAACGTGCAATTGCGCCAGCATACGCAATAGCTAACTTACTAAAGATTCTCTCTATGATATCATAACGTGCATAAAACAGCCTGGAGTATTTCGTCCAAAAGTTTTTGGATTTCTTGTCAAGTCTTACCACAAATCAGCAGAAAGTATCCTTTTCATCAAAAATTTTGTGTAAGGATTGAAAACTTTAGAACTTTTCAGACGTACTAAAGTGACTACCGATTTTGCTGGGATTTAGCCTAAGAATGTTTAGGGTGACTCAGACTGTTTTACGATTTAAAAGAATCTAGCCAACCGGTAATACCTTACAAACAAATAGCGAGACAACTTGTTACCATATATAAATTTGTAGTGTTCCAAGCTACGTGGACGTTGAAATGAAGATTTGTGGCCCAGGTGAGTGATTTCGCTGGAGTTTTGTTTTTTGAGCTGGATAGCTTGACCATCAGAAAATATTATTTCAAAGACGAGTAGTAACAATGTGGTCTAAAACTATTTATCATAGAGTTCTCATGACCCAGAGTTACCGGTCTCCAGATTTTATACTGGAGCAATTTTTTTACTGCTTATCAAATCGTGATCCTTTTCCTATGAATTAAAGCAAGTTCATAACATCACAGTGAATTTCCGCGAAATTCAATCACTATCAGAAACCACACAAAGTAGTCCAAAATAAAATGAATTTCTGTAAGAAAATGAATTTGACTGAGTAAAATCTGTTATTGCATACAACTATTACACCAGATATCTAAATTGGATCAGCAGTTAACTTTTAACTGCCCCAGAACTACAGTTGACACATACAAAAGTATACGGTAAACATCAATTCCTCGTTGGATGTTCCGTATACATACACAAGAGACTATAGTTTGGCTGTAAACATGTGCAGAAAAGCATATTTACATGCAAAGTCAATTATGAATTTGTGGCATTAGGTATGTACATTTATTAAAAGCATTAAAAATAACAATCTCACAGTTTAAAAAAATAGGTATTGTCGGGTGAGAAAATTGAGATGGAATTCCATAAGTAGATTGGAAATAGTCAGTTAGCTTGTTGGGATGACTGAGTTACAAAAGTCATTGATTTCCATCAACCACTCGTCTAAAGACCACGAAATCGGTGGAACAAAATTACATGGTTCTGCCAAATGTGGATTGGGATGATCTGGATTAGATGATTTCCTAATTTTCACAAGACTGATTGAACCGTTCGGAGCTATATGTATAGTCGCTGTCGCCATAACCCCTTGACCTGCTAGCAAATGAAGATTGCGTGCAGCTGGATCCCAGTCAAGTGGATACATTGAACTCAGTCGTTTTATGTCCTCTCTCAAGGTAAAGTCTACACGCAGATGTTGCCGGATGCATGCTACGACTGTACTTGGAGTGAGGGCTGGTGTGAGACGTTCACACAAACTGGTTATGCTGTTGTGACAGCCAATAACCTAAATATGAGAAAACAGTAATTAAAACAAAAAAATGTTCTTAGGTCCTGTTTTGAAAATTCGATATGGAAAAAGGATAGTAAATAATTTTTGGTCATTCAAAAATTTGATATGTTTAATCGGGGCTAGTCAATCATTATGAAGCTTTAATGAATGTTTGAGAAATTTCATTAAGTAGTCCATACTGCAGTCGAGATATTAAAAATTCAATGTGAAACTTACGGAGGCTCCCACAACTTGAACGAATGTTGGATTGTTAAAAAGAAATAGGGACAACATCGATCGATATATCAACGCATTGGTAATAACTGTTCACGAGACCGGATCATCGACTCAGGTCTTTGAGTTAATCGATATCAAAGATAAGGCCAATAGCCACAATAAAAGGTTCTTAATTATTAAGTTAACATATTTATAAGCAAGATATTAACATGACAAGAATATTTAGATGCACATGGGATGGGAGTAATCAGATTTGTAGGTTACTTCACTTTCAGGGTTATTCCTCTTCTATCATCTGAGGAACCAGATAGTTTAGGAGATTTGATCAAATTACATAAAGGGTGAAAAATTCTCATTATTCTTATGCTTTTGTGAACAAATAAGTGAAAGTTTAGTTACAAGAATTACAAAGTAGTTTAAATCATTAAAGTAAATGAATTAAACTGACCAGAGTGGTAATCATAGACAATAAAATTTAAAATTATCTACAATTTTCGATTCATATTAATTGATTAAGTATTTGCATCCGTACTCGAAAAGCAGCTTATACTGTCAAAAAATCCTTTGGCACCAACATACGTTTTTCGAAACACGCACACATTCAAATGCGGCCATTCGCTTAACCTTACTAAGTTAGCTTAGAGAACCGGGGATATTTACTCTGTGTATCTGCCGTTGAGACTGCTACTTTGCGTAGCGTCGTTGGTGTAGATGTAGTACTAAGTTCGAATGAAGCTGAAATCTAATGGACAGCCGCTTATGCACTGTCCAACTAAATCTAAACCAAAGTAGAAGACACTAGTGATTCAAGTGCTTCAGATCAGCGAACAGACACCGACAACCATGCTTAGACAATTGCTTATGCTTAGCAAGTATAATCCTAAAATATGAAGATATCGTCTGAAATGATGACTACCGAAATCAACTCGATGGACTCAAATAGACCATATTATCATCAGCTATTGGTTAGAGAGGCTCAATAAACGATCATGCATTCGAGAGCACATGTCTAAACTTAAACTACGATCTTGTGCGAGCACGTGTTTGTCTACGTCTTACTAAACACAGCATGAAAGCCCCTCGAAGCCTAACTTAATGATAAAAAAGTCAACAGTATATTTCATGAACGACAGAATCAATTGTCAGATTGATGTTCACTAAGATTAGGGTTGACACGATATCCAAATTTCTGTGGAAACTGAGGTGATATATACCAGTGAATCAACCAAAAGGTTAAAAATCAGAATTTCGATGACCCCCAGTGAATCGATAGTCACTCTGAAGCTGATCCCAGCAAACAGTGACGAGCGAAGACGACTTAAACACAAAATCAGAAAAAATGTCCACGTAGTGGTTATAGAGAGCGAAAGCAAAAGACATGGTAAGGGGGAGTGATCGTGACATAAGGCATTTGTTTATGATTTTCTAAGAAACATATTGAAAATTTGAGATTTAATTAAACTAACTCGGTTAGGACATAGATCTCTCTCAGTGCAGGAAATTTACGGAAAATTTTCGCCTCATTGAAAAGAGACTAAAATGCTTAAAACTATACTGCCTCGTGACTTAGGACCTACGATTTCAGTTATAGCAAACAAATGTGAAAAATATTAGTTTACTACGGAAGCCTTATACTTCTTTCCATGACTACTACTTTTATCACAATTCGAGTTGGTAATTTCCTCTCCGTATTAATGTGGTGTGTTGACTGGGACCAATTCACATATATGCCAGGGTCTGCATTGCATATCACTGAGTGACTGAACAGACGTATGATCAGTCAAGAAATACTACTGTATCTGTTTGAATGCAGGAGGATGTGTTTCTAAACTATCCGAAGTTAATTAAGAGATAATTACTCATAACCTTATTACTCACCGTATGTAATGTACATATTGGTGAGATTTTTAGGAAATGGAATATCTATCTCAGTTCAATTGACTACATGCTTATTGCGAATTATTCGGATGACTAGTCCACATAACTATCGTATCACTGAAAGGGTGCACAACTTAATGTGTAAAAGACTTTGTGGGACGCATAGTTGATATTTAAAATTATGACATATATATATATATATATATATATATATATATATATATATATATATATATATATATATAATATCCTTTTAATAAAAGGTAACTCATTTGACTCTGTAACCCAGTCATTTTACATCTATAATGTACTGTATAGGGCCTTCTAACATGAAATGTTTTAAAACAACTCCAAAATGATGCCAGAAACAGCTTATTAAACAAAACAGCAAATATTGTGAATTTACTTTTGATATGACTGATTTCGTAGGCTCAGCTAGTCAAAAAACTACCAAACTTTAAAACAATCTTTATAAAATATATATACAGCACAAAGACAATCACACAAATCCGTCTTGCATAAAAAATATAATTCAGTGGACAGTTACTAAGAAGCTGCCATGTCTATCAAAACCAGCATGACATGGTGTCGTGGTATGAAAGGAAGCTGCAAAGGACTGGCTTCTGTCGGGCCTTCACGATTCCCTGGTTGGGGTCCGAGAGATGGTGCTACACAGTGGCTAGAGACGTTATCAGACATGGCTCAGAATAGAAGCCAGTGGCGATCCTGCTGTAACCTTCTTTTACTTTCTTCATAAAAATTGGTTGTGTCTCCCTTAACTGAAAGATTTCTTCTGATTGTACCTTTCCGTTCCCTCATTATTACTATTATTATTACTACACTACCGTACACCAACCTCTTCATTATTGTTCTGTTTTTTTTCTTTCTCTTCGAATTCTCATTGTTTTGTGTGGCGCATATATATTGGCACTCTCTTGTACCAATATTTATGTGTTCAAATAAATAAACCTCACTCAATACAGAAAACTGGATAAAAATGTCAACTTACTCTGATATTAGTCAGTGCTATAGTTCCTAAATCTCCATGTTTCAACGAACTGCGAAGTAAAGGTTTTTCAAGTTGACTCTCGTTAATATCAAACCTCAATATAACATCGGACGAATTTGGAGCTATTCTTCCAAGTTTTTGAGCATACCATTCTTGACAATACCTGTTGAAATTAGTGGTAGACATTTCAAGTGTCATAAGGTTAAAGTAGTGACAAGCGCCAAGTAGTAATAAACGAAAATTTTAGCACTTCAAATTGATAGACACTACACTGACATGACGGTTGGAATGACCCAGTCAACTTCAAACGGCGAGAACACTTGCTCTTTGAGCTCCCACCGTAGAGTCACTGACGTACCGTAAATAGCGCGGACTTTCATTAGTCGGGTCATATTTATATTATTTAAACAGCTGAACGCTTGATATCCCTGGTCAGATTGCAGGACATACATATTGTAAGTACACAATGTAACTATTTCAAGGTAGTGGATCACGATCTACTTTAATTAATCAGTTATACTGATTCAAATATACTGGGTTATTCAAATAGTGTTTGTATTTTTATCATTCAATCAATTTAGCCCCTAAATTATCTATTACCTAAATGCTGAGTCATATAACAATCTCAACCTGAAATAACACGGTCCAAAGAGGAAAACCAATTTGACAGGGATTTAACGGAAGCAGAACATTTCCTTTGAATGACTATAAATCCCATGTATCCTCTCCCATTCTGGCAAGTAGTGGGCTTTATGCGGAACTTGTGAAGGTAAGGTGCCTTTGCATATTGATTTTGCTATTCACAGTAAAATTCCCTATCGAACATAAGAACAGCCCCGGTAACTTTAGTAGTGTAACGAATGTGACATTTTAAGAACAACAGAACCCTGACGCCCATTTTATTTCTTATGCAACCATCATGGTTTGTAAAACCAACAACTTTCTCGTTATTCCTTATCAAGTAAAGTCAGTAGAGCATATATATATATATATATATATATATATGTCACATTCGTTACCAAATAAGTATCCGATGAGTTGATAAATGGTCCTATACAGAATATCATCAAGCGAATGGCTGGAATTTCCAGTCTCAGTAATTATGAGCAATATGAAATACGCGACGTATCAAGCAGTCAGCAAGTTTGCTTTACAGAAAACCACCATTTAATTCTCCTGATGAAGATGAAAGACACGAACAAATGAGTTTACCATAGCAACCTAGTTGTATGACAGAAGTATACGTGACTGCCTACCAGTATATAATAGGTCTGTGTTACCTTCTCTCCTTTCCTTAACGATTTTCAAAGCTTTTGAAATAAGATTTAAAATGTTAACTACATGAACGAGTGAACTGCTACGACAATGAGTTTTTAAAATATAAGCTACTTTTCACATTAACAGCACATTGCACTTACATAGTTTGCTTTCTTTTAGCTTTGCTTTTTATTGATTTTATGCGTGTACGTAATGTTTTTATATCTTTGACCAGTTCGTCATGTATGAATTTATCTTGTACAGTAGCCAAATTAAGAAAATTTAGATCTTTTTCTTTTAAAGTCATCATTAAGTCTGTTTGATATATTATCTACAAATTAATAATATAGAGGTTGATTGTCCACAACACTTATCAGAAACCGAAAAAATTTGCCAAGAAGCACTCGAAAAATGAATCATATTTAGAAGGCTCAGACAATAGGGTTGATTTCATCACCATAACTTAGAATCAAATAAAAAGTCATGAAGTTTAAGGATCAAATGTTTTGGGGAATGTTAGTGTTTACTAAGCGAGAAGTAAAGATTTAATCCTTTCGCCTCACACTTCAAATACTAGTAAATACAGTACTTTTTGGGAGTTTATTTCACGAAATGGTGTAAGCCAGAAAATCACGCAACATTATAAAACGGTGCTGTTTTACCATAGAACATTGTAGCAGTACACATCAATGACCACGTAAAGAACTGAGTCGTCATTGGTTTTTGCACCAAGTACGATACCATTTAACTAATAAGTCGAGACTTAATGGTCCACGTTTCCAGTAACATTTCGTTCACGATATAGCACGATCCTCGTTCAACGTCATTAATGAGTTTATGTCTTATTTCATGATAGGCTCACTATATAGACCACGGAATCTCAACTAGAACACGTCGTGGAACCCATCCATAAATTGATCATAAGTGCAGTTTATGATTCGGATGGATGGTTTTGCAAATAATAACTTTTGAAACACCAATTTTTACAGAACCACTTATATAGATATGATACATTTGGATAAACTTGCATACAAAATGTAAGGTTATAAAGATGACATCGCATTAATCAAAACAATCAGCAATGTCTTAATGAAAACAAAACCAAATAGGGATTAGAATTCCATTAACATAGATGGAGTAAGATGTACCATTCAATTTACGATGAAACCATTGAAAATTACTGAAGCACGAGTATTTGATGGGACTATGCAAACTACTCATTGATGATTTAAAAAAGTCACCAACGTTATTTCATGGCGTTATCGAAGCACTTATCGAGTAGATAGTACAAATTTATTTAAATCAAACAGATAAGTTCATAATACTATATCCTGATATCTGATTTCTGGATATTTGACATTACTTCCTCAAAGTTTTGAGGAAGTAACTGTCCTAATCGTAGCTTTTTGTCGCTTATTGCACTAATGTTGAACAAAGTTGTGCGCCGACCAATTTTATTATATCATTGAAATACATAAGATAAACTTTATTAAAAATATCTACGACTCCATGTTTGTGTTGTAATAGTAATAGAAAATATTTGGGATAAATTCAATTTAACAAAGTCACCACCGAACTAGGCAATCATGATTGGTACCCTGTCTGATTTTAATAACACTTCTCAATGTATATGTTACGTTCAGGAATATTACTACCTGCTTTTTAAGAATTTTAGAAACCACTTAGGATTATGTCTTACTGTTTAGAATGAGGTGTAAAATCACTGTAGCACCATATCTCACAACAAAATTAAAATTTGACGGCGACGATTATGAACTTACAGTGGGAATATTTGTCCCTTTTTTAATATCTATGAGTGGCGCGAAAGATTCCGAGCTTTTGTCCACAGTCAAGGTTTTGTCTAATGAATGCAGTTCTGAGTCGAGTTCCTGAAGAATTTTAAGGTCTTATAGGTCAGGATACAGAATTCTACTTTACTTTTATGTGTAGAAGCATACAAATGACCAAAATTAAGGGACAAGCTTTTGAATTCGTTTTGTAAGTAATCAGATGTGGATGGAGTGATGTTTACTGGAAAGTAAAAAATGAGGTCAACTAACCTGGTTCGGAAGATAAAACCTCAAAGTTATGAAGTCTAGTAAGGAAGTGAGCATCTCCAACTAAAATCATGTTGTTTAGGATCTGATAAGTGATGCTAGGTTTTGAAGAGGGCTTACTTCAGATTCAGGAAAAGCAAGTGATGGAAAAACAGCATCTACAAAACAATGGAGTGTCAATCGCAACATATTACATTAGTTCTGAATAGGTTCAGGAATCTTAAGAAACACTACAAGATAAAAACCTAAAGATTATATATTGCTATCACAAAATACACCTAAACACACATTATCAGGATTCCTGACAGTAATCAAAGTAAACACAACCCAGTAACAGGTTAGTAAATAGTCCATAAATTAGTATTCCATAATGATGCGGTATGCTGAACTGCTTGCCCCCAAATGCCCTGGTATGACCGAGAGTGGGCTGGACCCGCCCTCCCCCTCGAAATACTGTCACACGGCCACGCGTATACAGCCTCTGCAAGGGAAGTCCTACTCATTGCCTTCTCGTGGCGGGGGTGTTTACGAAAATGAGGACGAAAAGCGAATGTCCGGAGCTTTATCCGGATCCCAAACCAATGGTACACATGGGCTCTAGTATCCTGTGGGAGCAAACGGCGTATGAACCAATGTCTTGGTCACCGTCTACCATGAGACTGCATCTCCTCATGATGCTCCACTACCTTGTGGGTTAGATCTTTAGGCAAAGGGCTCGGGGTGTGGCCCCCTAAGAATACCACCTGCTTCGGTCTTGGCACCCGGGCAGTATCACAGCCCACACAGAAAAAATGATGAACTGTCTACTTATAGAAAATATTCTTCTTGCTGAACTGCTTTGGGACAATAACCATCTAAAAATCGATAGCAGTTAGTTTTTTTACCTAACAATCTTAGCATCTAAACCTTTGATTATAAAAAGCTCCTGCTAAATGAAGTATCTTTGGTCAGCAAAACTTTGGAGAAGTGTAAGAAACGATGCCCGGAAACCTTTAACACGGAGCCAAACACCAGTCCAAATGTTGCACAGACACACGTTCACATGTAGTTGGCCCCACCTGTGTTCGACTTTATTCATATTTCGCTAGTGGCCCTTAAAATGTAGGGTTACTGTAACATCACAATCTTCCTACTTTTAGAAAAATTTTGTCCGTCTTGGGAAAACCTCTATAGAAAATTTTGGAGGAATGACGCAAAAACCCCAAAATTTCCATACATCTAGGAGAATCCCCTAGAATTTTGGGGATTTCCCTAATACATCCCCAGACTCTGATGGAAACCCCAAAATTCCCTCACAATCGTGGATTAGCAACACCATAAGATAGAAACGGACTTCGATTTGAAATTATGAACTGGTTGATCGTTTGGATCACTACATTTAATTGGGTAGTTACAATTAATCAGAAGCTAGTTGAGCTGAGAATACACACGCATCTCATCAGGGGATTAACTCCAACAACAATTACAGCCAACTGATCGAGTCACTTATTACAATTGGAAATGCCTCAAACGGTTATAAATGAAATAGAAGCTTTCGCTTAACGATCTTCCATGTCTATTAGTAGTGGATCACCAATACCTCCAGGCAGGAACCTAGGTATATTAACGACAATAGAGGAGAAAATAAAAATTGCTAAATCATAGTATGGTATTATTCTTTGTCCTTAAGAATAGGTCAAGTTTCCTCTTAAAGAACCTCTGGGAAGTCACGTGGACCAGCTCAGCCGGCAGCGAATTCCAGCATCTGACAACTCTTAAGGAGTACAAGTTGTGTCTACAGTCCATTCTGCTATGTTGTGTCTCCAGCTTCTGGATGTTACTCCTCAGGTTTGTGTTGGAGTTAAACTTAAGCAGGTGTTTAAAGGGATGTTCAGAATTGTTAAAAATATTGTAAGCCATTGGGTCACCTCTTAGACGCCTGTACTCTAACGGGTAAATGTTTAGTGATCGGAGGCGTTTTCACAAGGCTTGAATTTGAGTCCCAGAACTGATTTTGCGGCTCGCCTTTAGATACGCTCCTGAGTGTCATCCTCTTGAAGTGAGGGAGGAAATACTGTTTCCGTATTCTAAATGGGGAAGAATAAAACTGTTGAAGATCATGTGGAAAGTTTTCTTATCAAACTAGCCAAAAATGCGCCTGAATGTTACCAGTGCAAGGTTTGTTCGAAAAGCATTTTTGTCACAGCGTAAACCTACAAATCGTAGGGTACCTCATATGCCACAGGTAGAGCATGCGAACCAAGGGACTTATTCAGACAAAGTAGATTGAATCATTGGGCATCAGTGACAAAATTATATGGCAAATTGAGAAAAAAAATATCTACACAACAAACCAGCCTGAGCCATTGTTAAACGGCAACTATCAATCAGCTTCGCCAACTGTGGAGGTTACTGAGCACCTGAAGGTCAACCTGTCGTGAAACGATTGGTGCGTCACTTCGACGATTTGAAAGAATTTTCAGAAGCGGTCAAATCAAGACATTTTCAAATTTGATTTGAGTTCAGCTACACCATAACTGATAGTCTCCATCCTTCTGGTAACCAAAGTGATTCGATCGTAATGGAGCATGATATAGGACGAATCTTTGATGATGTTCTGCTATGGAGATGATTTACCAGTTGAGAAAATTTTGAGACCAGGTGATAGAACTCCTGTTCTTGATAATTCCTTGTATGACATACATACACTAGGTCTGCCATATCGGTATGTAGAAGGAATAAATGCGTATCCAATCCTAAACTATCTTTACGTCGGCTATGTTTGTTCATTTGGACTTAAATGCTGTATACAGGGATCAGATGCATGCCATCGGGATATAAATGATGATGGTGATCAGTATTCTTCCTAAGAGCATCCACCTCCAAACTCATCATCACAACTTAGACAAGGAATGTGACATCAGCCATCTACGCATGCCTCATTTTAGGTCTGTGCAGTAGATAATGAGCTAAAGGTCACCTCCATTAAAACTTAACCACCCTTGCACAGAAAGATATATTTCTGCAGATCTTTCGAGATGAAAGTTGACGTCAAAAAAGTAGTCTTATTGGAGACCGTTTTTGTTCAGTAATACGTCAGTGCGTGGTGTTCGATATCTCGTATCTTGAACGTCCCCCAAGGACGATGTTGCCAAATTCACTCACAATTGTATCCAGGCTGTTCGACTTACATTCCAATTAATCTAATCAATACATTAAACATATCAACGGTATTTTACGGATCATCTGGTCAAAAACAGAAGCGAAAGTATTGAAAGAGAACGGGAATATATCCATGACTTGCTTCAGTTACTGGGAGCAAATAGCTATCAACCACACGTTTCCAAATGTATTTTGTATTGACTTGACTGTGGTGTTTGAATGAACTGATGATTTGTTTGTACTTGTTGATTGTTCGATTTCGAATTCTAAATACAATACATTCGTTTGTGCCTATCTAGTACTTCCTGATCCGATTACGTTATTTATGGTATTCCTAGTTCATATTACAATTCAAATAATTCGAAACATTATACTTGACCTACCAAACCGACAATTTTGGCTAACTAGTGAATAATAACGGCTTTAAACTTTGGGATTTTCACTGTTCCAGCTAGTGGTTACTGGTAATCTTGGGCAAAGGCATGCCGTCATGCATGCACTTTGTAAGCAAATACGATACTGACATGTCATAAGACTACATGAACTCTTCGAAGACACGATACACTTAATTTTTTCTTGTATTAAGCAACGAACAAAATTTCCGCAGTGCAGTCTGTGCACAGTCATGCGGGCATAATGCTGTGTTCCTTCCACTTCTTAAGTGTTTTTTTTCAAAAGGGGAATCGTTAACTGTACAAATTATTTTCTGTAGTTTAATTAGCGATAACGAATAAGCTATATTATCAGAACCCATTTTTCTAACTGATCATAGCTATGCTTCTGAATAGCAAGACATCTAATACTGTAGTTTCTTCAGCTTCACACAAATTCATTCATATGTCCATAAGCTTGTTCTTACAGCATTAAGGCGGGTAGTGTACTGTGTAGTTTTGTGTTACTGTGTGGTTGTGAAACATGGAGATGTTGGTTCGTGTTGATGGTCAAGGATTACCAAATTAGCGCCCACGCAATCAGTCACAGGACGGTTTACCAAATACTGCAACCTTAAAGTTGATGCCTTCAATTACTAGGTTCAAATCGGTACTATTGCACTGTTTAGAAGTCACATAGCAGTCACTTTTGACAGGTATTATGCTGATTTTGTTAAGCTTTTGTTCCGTTCCATACGAGTAGAACTGAATGTTTTATTTCAGTTAGCTTTACTATTGGAAATAGCATTGACTCACGATTTTCATCTGTTCTCTTTCGCCGAAGATCAAAGCCTTTATCTATTCTTCTCTCTTAGCGGTTTGCCAATCATAAACTAACAGCTCTTTCTTCATATTAACTTCTGCAGGTATGTTCATCTTATGAGTTTGAAATAATATTTCCTCACTTCAAAAATCAGGACTCAGACATATACCTATACCTAAATCTATAATCATTTACATAGATAAGAGGGTATGTACTATCTGTTAAATTGTAATACATCTGATCATCGATTGGTTATTAGGAGTGAATGATCGCAAGTTGTTTATGAGATACTCATGTTACAACATATATTTAGTACATGGATGTTCATCTCCTAACATAGTTCCATCGCTGATTATCATATCCCGAAGTTATGTAGAAACATTCCTCGAACACATGCAAAATGTATTACATTCTACTAGTAATCATTTACAAAAATATGAATACAAACTTCCTACTGAGTGTGCAGACTCCGGTTATCTAATCACATGTAGGGCCAGTTAAATGTCATTGAGCCTTAGCCAAATAATCCGGCAGTTGGGTCACTGAATACCAAACAGATAATCGATCCCTGTCAAAGTCGAGGACAACCAACGAGCATCAGTTAATCATATGCCATGTACTGGCCAATACGTTGGTGGTCTCACTATCTTCTTTGTACACACTCTTACCAATATATTTCCATGATAGCGTCTTTTATGTTATACGGTCTTCGAAGCGGCCATAACACTTAGATACGTCGAAGAGATAATCCATGTTAGATGCTGGCCGTGAGGTGTGATTTCGAAGTTAGCTGAATCGTCACGCCACTCCTGTCCAACTCCAATAGACCTCTGATCATTCTACATAGATTGTCTACTTTGGTGATCTACACTAGAGAGCAAGATTTCGAATAACACAATCTGTCTTCACCATTTTTGTTATTTCATTGTGTACTTATACTTTCTCATTTTTATCGTTGCATATGTTAATCGATTACTGTGAACATTCGTTGCATCATACCAATGTTGATTAACAAGTAATGGCAGCATATAAATGCTTCTGTGTAATATGTCGGTTATAATATCAACCACTGGTAAGTATAGCCAGAAGGCAACACGAATGCATATCTGTTTGTAACTTATCCACTTGTATAAGCGAGACAACACTAACTGTCGATCATGAATTCATCTTTCTGCTTAGTCACTACCAACTATCTTCCGTCAGAAACTATCCAACAGAATATTTTACCTATTCGACCACTGCCAGTCTAATTTCCAAATGGTGAGTTCCATGGTCAAACAGAGGATACGAATACTAGAAGCTTACGGTGAGATTGAACTATAAATTTCCTGCACCCGTAAATTAATTTTGGACTTATACAAACTCGGTCTACAACGCTGTTTTAATCCAAAAATTTATTCAGCATTACTTCATATCAAATGCAGGTTCGAACTACTGTCTATCACAAATTTTCATTACTTAGGAGCGAGAGTAACCCAGGCAATTTTTATAATTTCACTAGATAATTTCGTACTATGTTTATGATGCCCAACAACAGTACGTAGTTGTTTACACGTAGAGTGGTCATATATTCTGACACTGCCATCAAGTTCTAGTCGAAAACATGTATATTTATAACTCGTCATGCCGTGGAAAAACGTATTGCATGTACACGAGCAGTCTTGGCCCATGTCCTAACAAGACACTTTGTCGTACGTAACATGTCACTTAACGCTAGGTAATAAGTACTTTGCATCAGCCTTTTACGAAATTATTTGAATCCTCCAAACTTTAGTTACACTGTTGGCTACCATTTTAATTGATGCTTACCACACTTTTTGTATTTACTATTATCTCATATGATAAAACATAGCTAGATTTCCCTACTACACGAAAGTCATTTTAATTTCGTTTTTGGCTTGTTCACATGCAGTACGAGTTCGAAGAATATCTAAACGACTTCAGAAATTCTTCACGAACCGCACCATATTTTATTAACACATCCAACTGTTACACTAACAACACCCAAACGAACGTTCAGTTCAACTGTCACCACACATAAGAACAATGTTATTTCGATTCGACATTATTACACATCCGAACTATTGTAGTTATTTAACTTCGACATCTCACTTTATTTTATGAAGTATTGTTTCCGCGTGGTTGTTATATAACGAATGATTTCGGTACATCGATTGGCTGTTCAACTACTCAACGATTTAAAACCCGTCCAGTTCATTTGGTAGTCTGACGACAATATCATTCATCCAAACCATCAGTTTACGCAGTCGAGAAGACCTCTTGCAAAATGAAAACGATATTGTTTCCCCTATCCCGACATTGACAGCGTTTTTCATTGATATCATTGACATTAGTCCAGAATGACATGCTTGGTTTTTTATGTTATTTCCGATATTTCTCGGTTCACTTATCAAACACACATGCAGCACTCATCGTTTATCATCTTTTAAAAACTTCACCGTACCACCTTCACGCTTGACCTGTAGTCTTTGACCCTTACTGATTGTAACAGCAATCCTTGGCTTTTCAATCTCTGACTACAAGTTGATCAATAGCTTCTCACGACAAAATCACGACTTCACGGTTATACTTCTGTACTTAAAGTTAGTCTGTTAAGTACAGATGTAACTAGAATTCGACACTTACGAACGGAATCTGTCAACGACACTGCTTGGTTTCATACTTTAAACCAATGGAAGTAAAAACATCAAAATCAATTGATAATACACTTATGCTACTGTTACTATAACATCATTACTCCTGCGACAAAGTTAACGCTTCTCATAGGAAGAACTCAATCACCTTTTAGAGCTATCTATTTCAACGCTACTTGATATAACTTTAAGACGTTATGCTTTTCCTATTCTTTCTATGGTTAACCGCTTTACATTCAACCAACGTTCGATACTCAGTGAATCAACTGCCGTATGATTTACCTAAGGCTCAGTGACGTTTCGCCGACTCTACAGTGTTAGTGCACTTAATGTTTTTAGTTAGAGAACCATAAATTTCAATCAATTTTCTGAATAGCAGTTTATAATAGTACTTGTTTCTACTACTGGTTATCTTTACAAAAATATTA